TATGTTGTTAACATTTATAAAATATACTACTATTTTTAATACTCAATCTGATATTATTTTAAATTTTAATAAAGTTTTAAAATTTTTCTAATATATAAATTTATTTAGTATATAAAACAAGGTAAAAAAATATATTAGATTCAAAGTTTTTTCTAATTAATAATTTATAATAAGTATATTAAAATTAATTAAATTAAAATAATTATATAATAATAACAAATTAATTACTGTATTATATTATAAGTAGAAGTACTATCTATAATAATAATTAAAAGTAATATTTTAATTTTATTAATCTTGAATATTATTTTTTTAGTTTTAAATATAACTTCAATATTTATTTTATATTTACTACTTACATCTATAGCTTATTATATATAAAGTTATTTATCAAAAATCAAGTATAATTCCTATTAATTTTTATTCATAAATATTTATTTATCTATTAAAAGATATTGTAACAAAGCTGATGATATTATGATGTGATATAACATAAATTATTTATATGTTATAAACAAATTATATGATATTATTTTTAATAAAATTTCTGTGTATTATATGGTATTAATTTATCTTAATAAATATTAAAATATGATTTATTTTTTTTAAAAGTATATGATAATAAGGACACACAAAAAGTATAACATAACATAATATTTATAAAAATTTGTATTTTACTAAAAAACTTAGAATAATCTTGTATTTTACTACAGATTATATATTTTAATATGAGAGAATTCAATTTATATAATTTTATGATGCAATTAACTGAAATTATATAATATTATATAAATTATGTGTTTTATGCAAAATTATGTGATTATATAAAATCATTAGCCTTACATTATAATACTTATTTGATCTAACTTTAACTTTTTTATTATTATATTATCAAGATTTTTAGTTGCTTAATGTAAAATTTTATTAGATAAAGTTTTTTTATCTGATAATTTAATATTTAAATTAAAAAATCTAAATAATTCTAAATTATTTGTTTAAGTTAATAAAATTTTACAAGAAATAGTAACCTGTAATAACAAATTATTATCTTTATTTGAAAAAGATCATGTAATATATACTTCAAAAGATCTATAATTTAACTAATTAGAAGAAAAAGATAATAAAAATGAATAGAATAAAATTAATTCTCTTTGTAATAATGATAATTGCAGATGATTTGGTAAAGTTGATATTGATTTTTACAATAGATTATTTTCTATTAAAAATAAATATTATTATAATAATAATAAATATATAATAAATTTATTTAATATTTTATCTAAATTAACTTACTGTATTTATTATCAAGAACAAATATCTCTTCTTTTTCTTACTAACTATATACATTTTGAAAATTTTGACAATTTTTAAAATGTGTAAGAGTTCTTTTAGTTTTGTCTATTATAGTTTTTAATTCTAAATGGTTTTTATAAAGTTTTTTAAAACAAGCTTTACAGTGTAAAATTAATTTAAATTAACAATTAAAAAAAAGACCATTAAAAAAATCAATTAAATAATAAAATAATTAAATTAAAATAAATCAAAAATTATAATAATAAAAATAAAATTAAATAGATCTAAAATTAAAAAAAAAATAAAAAAAAAATAATTTTTAAATTAATTTAATGCAATTTGATTTAATTTATCTTAATCTAACTATAATTAGATTATAATTAAATCATAATAGGAACTTATCCTACTAAATATAACTTGAATTTAATATTAATTCAAATTATCTTAATCTAATTCTAATTTTAATAAATCTTCAACTTAGCCAAATCCAATTATATTTTTAAAACTAATTATTCTAATTCATTTCTAATTCAAATCAATCTAATTTTAACTCTAATATAATCTAATTAAACTTACTATATCTTAAACTTAACCTAATAATATAGGAGGTTTACTAAGTTATAAATATATTAAATTATATAATTTGTAATATAATATATCTGAATATGACTCAAATTTAATCTAATTTAATTTATATATTACATGAATTTAACTTAAATATATCTTGAATATTTCTTGAATTCAATAATCTGAATAATATCTTAATAGTTATTCAAATTTAATTCAAATTTATCTAACCATATCTATAATATATCTCAAAGTTAACTTAACACTTATTTGAATTTAATTCAAATTTTTAACTATAGTATTATTTAACCTAAAGTATCCTAACTTGAATTCAACTAAATTTAACTCTAATTTAATTTAATTTAAACTGAATCTAATTCTACTTAATCTAACTTTTAACTAATAACTAGTCTGATCTTAATGCAACTATAAACTAAATATAATCTAACTATAACCTGAATAATATCTTTATCTAACTTAAACTTAATCCAATTAATCCGACCCTTACTTAAATCTAACCTAAAGTTTACCTAAACTTTGTTAACTTTATCTTGGATTTAACCTAATTTAACTTTATACTAAAAATAACTTAATTGTAATCTAAACCTAACCTTAAACCTAACCTTAAACCTAACCTTAAACTCTAATTATATAAATATAATTTAATATATTAAATTTAAAAATTGAAACATAACAATTATTAAATTTAAATTTACAATTAATTAAAAAAAAATCAATTAAATATAGATAAATTAAAAAAAAAATGCTAAATAGTTATTATTATAAACAGTTTCATAGATTATTTTATAGTTTACAATAAGCAGATTGGATAGGATTTTGTCACTTTGTGGCAAAATCCTAATCAATTATATATTGCTTATTGTAAAATGTAAAATAATCTATAAAGTTTAGTATTAAAGATTTATTAAAAAGGAAATTAGCGTTAGAATTGAATTTAAATTAGCCTTAAAGTTAAAAAACACTAATAATAAATTAGTGTTAGGGTTAAAGTTAGGGTTAGAGTTAGAGTTAAGTATAGGATATTTATAAATAAAACATTATTTATGAGTTAGGATTAGAGTTAGGGTTAGTATTAGGCTAGGTTATTTATAAAAAAATCACCAAATACAAGTTAACATTAGGATTAGATTTAAGGTTAAAATTGGGTTACAAATTAGCGTTAAAATTAGAGGTAATTATTTATAAAAATTTTATTATTTATTTTAAATTTTACATCTTTTCTGTCGCGATAGCGACCTTAGGCATCGCCTGGGTAGAATTGCTAGTTTATTAATAAAATACGATTTCATTGTTAAATGATTTTTTTTTAAGATTTTATTTTTTGTAACTTATAAACGTAATTACTTATGTACTCAAACATATATAGGATTAGTTGTTAAAGTGTTAAAGTCATAAGCGAGCTCCTACTGACTTTTCACAAGCAACCTTTACTTTTTTTGTGAATGAAATCTGATTCAAATAAAATGGAAATATGGGAAGTTTGCTAGGAAAATCAGGCTCTGGGAATTTTTTAACAAAAATTTTGATTTTTATTTTTATTGAAATTTAGTTTTTGATGTTATTAGATTAAAATGTAATAATATCTTAATTTTAGTCAAAAAAATTTCCCCGAGCCCGATTTTCCTATGCAAACTTCCCATATTATGTTGGCTCTTTAACACGAAATTTTATTTTTTTTTTATTTTGCAATTCAATTTTTATTTTCAGAAGTTGACTTTCAGTAATCTAAATATAACTTATACTACGCTTTACTTTCCAGATTCAACCATTGAAATATGAAGAGAATTATAAAAAGCTACGTAAAAACATGCCATTCGATGTTCGAAACTTTTACAATAATTTTTTCTTAGTAAGTGTAATATCGCTTTATTTCACACCATAAAAATTTAGTCATTATTATATTTCTATTTGTTAAAAATAAATTTAAATAAATTGCTGTAAGCCAAAATTAAAATACGAATCGGAGAGTTACCATTTAATAATAACAATAAGTAATACCTGGCAAGCAGAAATAAATAACAAAATTAGCGATAGGATAGGATAAGCCTTTTTAATTCTGAATAATATTAATATATGACATTTAAGTTTACAAAGATTTAAGATAAACAAGTAATTTATTAAAATGGAATCCAATCCTTTTTAATACAGTACGAAATTATGATATTCGTTTATAAAATGTAACGTGACACTGAATACATTACATTATTAATAAGAAAAGTAACGGGATTTTGATTTTCGTAATTTTTAAATTCGACCCACTTTTGCAATTCTTAATAAATTAAATTATCGGACATTTACTATTGATGATCTTTGCTAGTACATTAGTTACTAATCATTTATTTGTTATTATGTCAAATTGACTATCGTCACTTTCTTGATAGTATGATCTTAATCAGATACATGTTGTGTTTTGAGGAACTCTACTTTTCGCAAGTGCTGATAGATGTTCAAGGGAGGGTAATTGATTACCCTTGGATGAAATATTTTGTGTCATTTTATATTATCAAAAGGAAAAAATTTTTTTTTTTGGGAAAAATTAGACTCGTAAAAGAAAAAAAGAAATATCATTTGTTTCATGGAAAAAAATGGTTTAATAAAGCTAAAAAAAAAATCTAATGAGTAACTGTTACTTATGAAGTTGTTATATTCTACAAAGTACGGATTAAACAGCTGCGTAAATATGAAAGAAAAAAAAAAAGAAATTCACGATTCTCATGAATCACCGCAGTTAATCTGCAGTAATCGATCAATAAAAAAATTTATTTACTGTTGGTAATCATATGTAACTGATATTCTATTGGGAAATGATGATCCTTTTATTTGATTTACACCGTTTAACTTTATTCAAAATTATTGAAATAAAAGATCAAAACGTTATAAAAAATTGTTATAAATAATCCCTTTGTTTCTTACAAATTATCTAAAAAAATTTATTGCAAAAAATAGAGGTTTTCTTTTTTGTAAGCATTTTTTATTCACACGTAATCATAATAACTTTATAATTAAAATAATTTAACTCTTTTGCTTTTTAAGATTATTAGAAGAATAAACGGTGATATAAATTGACATTGTGACTTTACTGAAAAAGTTTATAAATTCCTCTCGTTCGATTCGTTATCATGAAGTTAATCAAAGAAAATGCGCTCAATTTCTTAACTTTGCTCTTCCTCTTTATTTTGCAAGTCTGCGAGGTCAAGGGTGGCGACTGTGATGGTACCGTATACAAATTATTTTATTCTAACAAATCTGATGACAGCTTCTGAGTCTTTGCTAATTGAACTAACCATCAACTAAAAAAAAAAAACAGGCACGTATATTTCTTTAACCAATGATAATAATGAATGGAAAACTGAGAAAGATGGAACGCCGGCACTTAGATATAATATAAATCGACGAATAGTTTTAGGCAATGGTGATCCAAATGACTATTATACATTCGTGAAAGCCATCACACTAGCCAGACCTGGCACGAATAACGTCGTTCAGAATATTTATTACAGGGATGACGAACCTGCACGAGACAACTTTGATCAAGCTCAGAAATGTAAAGATCAAAATCTTCCACCCTCAAATTACGGTGCCTGTTGGGTATATAATAATTGGGTTACTGATATTGATCGAAGCTTGATTCCCGGCGATTATGAATTGTGGGTGCATGTGTACTATAGTCCGGCAGACTGTAGTAACGGTGATTGCAGAATAAATCTGGGTGGAATGTATGATTGCGAAAAGAGATACCACGTATTTATTGAAGATTATTAATAAATTTTAGATTATTAATCATTTTTATTTTTAAATTTAAGTTTCAATAAAGTTTTTGAATAATTAGAAATGTATTCTCAAAAAAATTTTTTAAGTATTTACGATTCGATTGTAGCACAAAACTATTGTGCGATGCATTTTTACATTTTTAATGAAAAGTATAATTGCAAGTTGAACATTTTTCGATGATATATAAACTACACACAATATACAAACACATAAATTTAAAATTATTCAAAACGAAATTGTTTATCATTTTTCTAGTAAAATTTAGAGAAAAAGAGGCCGGCCGGCTAGATAGATCACGTTTATGGAGGAATAAGACATGAAAGATTATTCCCGTCAATTCCTAAACCATAAATGGCGGTTTTTATCAATCTACTTCGTCTTACTACCTAAAGCTGAGATTTTCTTACCATTTACCCATGTTCCAATTTGTCTAATGTGTTGTGTACGAATTCGAATTCTTATTAACTCATACATACTTATGTCCAAAGTAATATGTACTTCACAGATTTTCAATTGCTAATCTGTTAACCATTTAAAAAGAATCATCCTATAAAGATTTGCTTAAAATGGGTACATAATAGTTAAAATAATGTCGAGCTTATGGTAAGAAATAGATTTGTCAAAATTATTAGGAGAAAGTAGGTAATGCATTATCTTGTATTCCTCATCAGAATAATTTACTCACTTTTCTGTGATCAAATTCGACTTGATCAGCTTTATTATAACTGCATATTCAGTTTCATTATTTTCAGCAGCTTTTTGTAAAGTTCTTTTCACACATAAACGTAACGCTATGTCAGAAATTTGTTACACCCATCCTTTTATCACTGCTGCTGGAAATGAGTCGCATACATTAATGAAAGAAATTCGAGAATAGAGTCGGAGAATTTTGAAAGGCCATTTAGTGAGAGACCTTTCCATCGTAATTTGATGATTTTTCAAATACCAAGTTGTTCTTGCAAGCAAGCTAATACGTATACGTTAGGTAAATTTATGGTTAAATTTTGTGATAAACTTTTTGTGGATCGGTGTGTTTCAAATTTCTAAGATAATCATTCTATACAAGAGAACGGTTTCGGAAACCATTGTTAAGTCCGGAGTACAAGTGTAACGAAAGGGACCAACCATGTATCGACTCAAATTTTGAGGGCAGACAAACAGACACCGGACTAACTATCTAAAAATATTTTTTTTACCTTTAGTAGTAAATTTATGAATCTCTTATTTCTTTCCTGTATCTATCTATCAATTCATTAAAAGTATTATTTGTAGTACGATTTAGAGAAAATTGTAATTAAATTTCCAAGTAGGAATATGTGTATTACTTTCCTGAAACTTATCAAATCGTACAGTTAATGACCTTATATATTAAACATAATTGGCTTTAAAGAGAACAATTTTTCATAAACGCCCAATATATTGGTTACAAATCACCTTTGACATAAAAATTATTCTAATAAAATCCAACAAAATGAAGCAGAATACTTTTAAATAAAATCTTGTGAACAATTATTCCCAGCTATTAAATCGGTTCTGAGATTTATTTTGAGTAGATTATCAAAAAAAAAAAAATATCCTTCGAGATATTGTTACACCAATTTCGTAACACTTGAGATTTTGCTATAAAATTCATCATCCAAGACTAATTTTATAATATGAACTGTAAAAAGAAATTATTTTGTTTTAAATCGATCATTTCTAAGTTCCAATTTACACAAATAATTATCGGAACGTAAAATCTCATTTTTGTTTGGAGAATTCTCGGAATCCACTTTTAATAGCAAAGCTCACGGTATAAATGTCGCCCTGACCCCTAATTAATTTACCGATTTCCCGAGTCTAAAAAAAATCTAATTAATATACAATAAAAATATATAATAAATCGATACATATAGTTGCATAACTTCCAAGTAAATACAGGAAGCAGTAAGTTCATTTCTGATTATGAAACGATTATCCAATTATTTTTCAAACCCCCTGTATATCGAATTTTATCCATAAGTAACACTAGTTAAATTAGTTAACCCACCTAAAAAAAAAATTTATCAAAGATGCCTGAAGCGATTAATCCCAAAGAGAAAAAAAAAAAATAATCGAATGAATTTGTAATCAAAAAAAATACTTGAACAGCGATCTCAACCTGTAATTGTCAAAAAAAATACTTAGATGAAGATAAAAAAAAAAACTTTTATGATCAATACTTGCTAAATAAAAGAAATAATTTTGATCATATAAGCAAAATAACTTTATAAATAGAACCTTAAAGCATATGCAAACACTATGATATAAGAACGTCGGCCAAAAGTTGTTAAAAAAAAGAGCGAATTATCTGGTATTAAAAAAAAATTCAATCTACTCTTTATATTCTCGAACTGGTGTAAAGCAATTTGTTAGTAAAAAGTTAAAAATTTTTATACATTTAAAATATAACTATAAATTTCACGTCTGTGGTTTCACCAAATATTTAAAGTCGGTCTATGGACAGCTTTATAAATAGTAATGTGAAATTGAAACTTTAAATAATTATGTAAACTAACACCTTTTAGATGTCAACTGAAATTGATAAAATGTTTACGTTTATTTTATAATAGAATTGTTACAAATTTGCTCGATTTCTCGTTATATTTTGACAAATAAGCCATTAAACGATGTAAAATAATATTAATGAGAAATAAAATGAAAAAAAAAAAGGAAAAATTAATCATAAATCGCAAATTGTCAGGAAATAATATTATATGATTTAATACCTACTTCATGAGTGGCACTATGTTTTAAAGCAAAGTTGTGCGCTAATTCGTGACAAACTTTTACGAACCAATAGGACATGACGTTACTTATACACTCATTTTCATGCAATTCGAGGTACGTTTAAAAATTGAAATACAATTTTTTGTCCCTATTAAAAGCGACTTTACTTGAATCGTTATCATAATAGACATGAATATCTTCGAGCTTGAGTTGAAAAACCTCCGCAAGACATTTTAGGATCTCTACAAGACGAGTCAACGGAACATTATCATTCGTTTGTAATAAATTTGTCGACTGTGTATTATAAACTTTAATCTCTTCTAAAGTTCCAGATTCGTGTAACAAATAATCTAAAATAATAGAATACATCAATATTTAAAAAAAATAACGATGATTACGAGAAAATAATGCACATATGGATTATACCAGGTATAACTACGCAGTTGCCCTTAATAATTTCACCTCTCGAATTAGATTGACAAGCATTAATGTAATTTCTTAAAGCATTTCGTAGATTTTCAGGTGTTGAGTGTGGGATTGATAATAACTTTTATTGCGTAATCAAACATATCCTCCAAGTCATGTGGTTCGCTGTATCCGACAACCCGTCGTAAATAGGGTAAGTCAATCATACAATCGATTGGATATATTTTTGATAAAATTGAAAGTGATGAACCTAAAGTGATGAGATGTAAAAACATTATCCGGTTTGTTTGTACTATAGATATGCCTTGCTAATTGTTGCGAAATATCAAGATCAATGTATAAACTAGATTTTAGCATATACTGGTTAATTATCTTTTATAAAAAAAAAAATCCAGATTTTTTAAAAAAAAAACCTTAAAGTTATCCTGCATATTTTTTAAACTTTTCGGATTTACCAGTATTTGTTAAAATACTGTATATATAATAAAATTATAAATTTTTGAATTTTTTTTAAAAAAATATATGAATTAGTTTTCGGTTATATAGATCAATGTATAAATAAAAAAATAATTATTATAAAAAGATTTGATAAAATGTAAACGAAACTTTATGACAAGCGAAAAAAAAATTTTACATTTATGTTACGCAAAATTGATATGGCCTGAAAAAAAAAAAATTACAGCCAATAAAATCTGGATAAATTTTCCGGTCCCGGGGTAAATGTCCAGTTCTATAACAAAATTCCGGATTTTGAATGTCAGGTAAGTGACCCAGACTCGTAAGGTATACCCTGTTAGAAATTCTATAGTAAAATCCATTGAATCCATTGGATCAATTCAAATCAAATTTTTAAATTTGTGAATATGGATCAGATTGAGATGTCGATTCAATCCAACCTATTAGAAATGATTAACAAATTTGACGAAGTGGATAATCAGACTGATATTACTAAATGATCATATTTGATCTATTAGATATATTAAAAAAATTAGTTTTAGTTATTATATTTGTTAGTTATATCTTATTTAGTAGAGTTATTATATTTATCTTATTTATTTATTTATCATTTATATTATATTTGTTATATTTTATTTTATAGTATTTTATTTTGTATAAATATCTTGCATTTTCCTTTGAGTTGAAAAATAACTTGAGATAGGATTTTAGGATAAACCAAGTATTTAACTAGGAAAACGGAAACCGTTAGAGTGTCTGAAGCTTTTATTCAATGTATTACATGTAGTACAGAAAAAATAAAATGTATCACAAAAAACTAAATGTATCACAAAAAAAAGATGCATGACTGAAAATTTAGAAAAAGATAATCAACAAATTTCATGTTGAGGGAGGAATCAGAGAGATTAAACGCTTCTCTTCGGTTATTCTTTCATGCAACCTCTTACAAGTTTTAACACGCAGGAGCCTTTCAAGCGAAAATGGGCTAAAAAGTATATTTTTGAGAGTACAGACATGAGATATTGCGATAAATGAGAGGCTGGCAGCAAACTCTTTATTTTCTAGATCAATAATAGCTTTTTCCAATGTTAGACCCTGACTTTTATGCACTGTGATCGC